TTATAGGTTCCGCGGGACGTCCAAGCGTCAGTCGTGAGCGCAGCTGAGGATGCGCGGGAGAGTTGACTTTAGCCCGGTCTGACTGTGCGTAAAGGAGCTGCTTAAACGCCGCGACAATAAGCGGTCGTTGAGATGCTTTTTTTCACTCATGTTGTAAAAGATTATATTGTATTTGAATGCTGGGGTCCAAAAGTCCGGCCTAAGTCTTCGGCAAGAAAGACTGCAGCAGATCCAGAGTAGTAGAATGAAAGGTTTATTGCAGCTTGAACAGGTTGGGATGGATGCGTGAAACAAGAGCGTGTGTGTGTGTGTGTGTGTTATATAGTCATTAAACGCACAACAACACGATGTGAGAAAGCTAAGAGAGAGCACGCTCTTCACTCGTTGCCCTCCTACAGCAGACTGCCCACCTGGACTCCTGTGCGCATGTCAGTGAGGGGCGAACTGTTCTTAAAGGTACAGTGTCATTGAAGCAGGGAAATTTGCACTCATGTCTTTCTTGTGCCACAGTATTTACACACTGACAGTTTTGTCGACTGTTTAATCATCTGTGTAGTTACAGTGAAGCCAAAATGCTCTCATACTGGGGATTTAAATGACGCGGGGCTTTCAAGTTCTCCCCCCTGGACTGCCACCTTAACGTGGTGGGGGAGTTTGAGTACTCGGATGATCCTGGGAGCTATGCTGTCTGGGGCTTCATGCCCCTGGTAGGGCCTCCCATGGCAGACAGGTCTCAGGTGACGAGTCAGACAAAGAGCAGTCCAGAAGACACCATGGACAGCACTCAAAAGAAATCAGTGACGTCGCCCGGCATGGCGCAGCCGGGGCCCCACCCTGGAGCCAGGCCTGGGGTCGGGGCTCGTAGGCGAGCGCCTGGTGGCCGGGCCTTAGCCCACGGGGCCCGGCCGGGCTCAGCCCGAATGGACGACGTGGGCAGTCCCTCCTGTGGGCCCACCACCCGCAGAGGGGTCCGTGGTGGCGAAACGGTGCAGAGAGGACTGGGCAGCAGTCGAAGGCGGAGACCTCGACGACCCAGTCCGCACACACAACAGCTGGCTCTTGGGACGTGGAACGTCACCTCACTGGGGGGGAAGGAGCCCGAGCTCGTGGGGGAGGTTGAGCGATACCGACTAGAGATAGTCGGCCTCACCTCCACACACAGCTTGGGCTCTGGAACCCAACTCCTTGAGAGGGGTTGGACGCTCCACTTCTCTGGTGTTTCCCGCGGGGAGAGGCGGCGAGCTGGGGTGGCCATTCTCACTGCCCCCCATCTCAGCCGCCACGTGTTGGAGTTCTCCCCGGTGAATGAGAGGGTCGCGTCCCTCCGCCTCCGGGTGGGGGATAAGTCTCTCACTGTTGTGACGGCCTACGGGCCTAACAGCAGTGCAGAGTACCCGGCCTTCTTGGAGTCCTTGGGAGGGGTACTGGACGGTGCACCGCCCGGGGACTCCGTTATTCTCCTGGGGGACTTCAACGCCCATGTGGGAAACGCCAGTGACACTTGGAGAGGGGTGATCGGGAAGAGCGGCCCCCCTGATCTGAACCCGAGCGGTGTTCAGTTGTTGGACTTCTGTGCCAGTCACAGTTTGTCCATCACGAACACCATGTTCGAGCACAAGGGTGTCCACCAGTGCACGTGGCACCAGGACACCCTAGGCCGGAGGTCGATGATCGACTTTGTTGTCGTATCATCTGACCTTCGACCGCGTGTCTCGGACACTCGGGTAAAGAGAGGGGCGGAGCTGTCAACCGATCATCACCTGGTCGTGAGTTGGATCCGCTGGCAGGGGAAGAAGCCGGTCAGACCTGGCAGACCCAAGCGTATAGTGAGGGTCTGCTGGGAACGTCTCGCTGAGCCCCCTGTCAGACGGACTTTCAACTCACACCTCCGGGAGAGTTTCTCCCAGGTCCCGGTGGAGGAGGGGGACATGGAGTCCGAGTGGACCATGTTCTCTGCCTCAATCGCCGATGCGGCGGCTCATAGCTGTGGTCGCAAGGTCTCTGGTGCTGGTCCCGGCGGCAACCCCCGAACCCGGTGGTGGACACCGGCAGTAAGGGATGCTGTCAGGCTGAAGAAGGAGTCCTATCGAGCCATGATGGTTCGGGGGACTCCTGAGGCAGCTGTCCAGTACCGGCAGGCCAAGCGTGCCGCGGCCCGGGCTGTTGCAGAGGCAAAAACCCGGGACTGGGAGGAGTTCGGAGAGTCCATGGAGCATGACTATCGGTCGGCCTCAAAGAAATTCTGGCAAACCGTCCGGCGCCTCAGGAGGGGGAAGCAGTTCTTTGCCAACACCATGTACGGTGCGGGTGGAGAGCTGCTGACCTCGACTGGGGATATTGTCGGGCGGTGGAAGGAATACTTTGAGGGTTCTCCTCAATCCCCCCGTCACGTCCTCTGTTTCAGAGGCAGAGGCTGAGGATGTTGGGGCGGATACATCCATCTCCCTGGCTGAGGTCACCAAGGTGGTTGGTAGCCTCCATGGTGGCAAGGCTCCGGGTGTGGATGAGATCCGCCCTGATTATCTAAAGTCTCTGGATGTTGTAGGACTGTCTTGGCTGACACGTCTCTGCAACATCGCGTGGCGATCGGGGGCGGTGCCAATGGAGTGGCAGACCGGGGTGGTGGTCCCTCTCTACAAGAAGGGGGACCGGAGGGTGTGTTCCAATTATCGTGGGATCACACTCCTCAGCCTCCCCGGTAAGGTCTACTCCAAGGTACTGGAGAGGAGGCTACGGCCGATGGTCGAATCTCGGATCCAGGAGGAGCAGTGTGGTTTTCGTCCCGGTCGCGGAACACTGGACCAGCTCTATACTCTCCATCGGATACTCGAGGGTTCATGGGAGTTCGCCCAACCTGTCCACATGTGCTTTGTGGATTTGGAGAAGGCGTTCGACTGTATTCCCCGGGGTGTCCTTTGGGGGGTTCTCCGGGAGTACGGGGTCGGGGGTCCTCTGCTGAGGGCCATCCGGTCCCTGTATGACCGGAGCCAGAGCTGTGTTCGCATTGCCGGCAGTAAGTCAGACCTGTTCCCCGGTGAATGTTGGCCTCCGACAGGGCTGCCCTTTGTCACCGGTTCTGTTCACTGTATTTATGGACAGAATATCTAGGCGCAGCCAGGGGTCGGAGACCACAGGATTTCATCTCTGCTGTTTGCGGACGATGTTGTCCTGTTGGCTCCAACGAACCAGGACCTGCAGCATGCACTGGGACGGTTTGCAGCCGAGTGTGAAGCGGCTGGGATGAGAATCAGCACCTCCAAATCTGAGGCCATGGTGCTCGACCGGAAAAAGGTGCCCTGCCCTCTTCAGGTGGGTGGAGAGGTCCTTCCTCAAGTGGAGGAGTTCAAGTATCTCGGGGTCTTGTTCACGAGTGAGGGAAGAATGGAGCGTGAGATTGACAGGCGGATCGGTGCAGCGTGCGCAGTGATGCGGTCGCTGTATCGGACCGTTGTGGTAAAGAAGGAGCTGAGCCGAAAGGCAAAGCTCTCGATTTACCGGTCAATCTTCGTTCCCTCCCTCACCTATGGTCATGAGCTTTGGGTAATGACCGAAAGAACGAGATCGCGGATACAAGCGGTCGAAATGAGCTTCCTCCGCAGAGTGGCTGGGCGCTCCCTTAGAGATAGGGTGAGGAGCTCAGTCACACGGGAGGAGCTCGGAGTAGAGCCGCTGCTTCTCCACGTCGAGAGGAACCAGTTGAGGTGGCTCGGGCATCTGTTCCGGATGCCTCCTGGACGCCTCCCTGGGGAGGTGTTCCGGGCACGTCCCACCGGGAGGAGGCCCCGCGGAAGACCTAGGACACGCTGGAGGGACTATGTCTCTCAGCTGGCCTGGGAACGCCTTGGGGTCCCCCCGGACGAGCTGGAGGAAGTGTGTGTGGATAGGGAAGTCTGGGCGTCTCTGCTTAGACTGCTGCCCCCGCGACCCGGCAACGGATAAAGCGGAAGAAAATGGATGGATGGATGGCTGGATGGGGCTTTCAAGTTCCTCCGTTCCTCTGCTCGCCGTGACCACGCTGTGTGTGGACTGAACACCGTGCACACAACTTTTTTTTTCATAAATCAAACCGCGGATCACGTCTGTACCGAACCGAAGACGTTGAACCGAACGGATCACGGATCAGTGATGAACCGTTGCACCTCTCCTAAATAACTAAATTTTAACTCATGCTATACTATAGCAAAAAAAGATGTCTTACTTACTTACAACGGGCCATCAGTTTTAATACATCTTACTCTACAGCCCTCTTCACAAAACTGACAGAGCAGACTGAAGGCTAAAGCAGTCGAGTCTCTGCATCATTACAGCATGAAAACCTGCGGCTTACATTCAAGCGCGGCCAATATGTGGACAACATTGATCTTCTGTTAACATGAAGGGGGTGTGGCTTATATACAGGTGCGCCTTATAGTCCAGAGAGTACGGTTAACTTGCCTTGCCTATGGTTGGGTGCGTAAACTTTCCAGCACAATTGTAAAATGCTGACAATGTTTTAGAGTGAAATCTAACGTGTCGAGTATGACTGCGAGACTGACATTTATGGACTATCAACACACTGCAAAAAAGAATGAAAATTAAGTTCAAAAAATGGCAAAAATTTGACAAAACCTTTCTAAATTTGAGAACTTTTTCAATGGCTTATAACAAGATTTACCAATGGGACAAAGCAAAATTATCTTGTTTTTAAAAATATACAAGAAATGTCTCCCCTGGAATGAGAAATTAAAGCAACAGCTCTTGAAATGTGTCAGATTAGGATGGAAACTACTCAATTCCAGCATTTATTTCCTCATATTTTATCATATTTTTGCTGTTTGCTGGACTTTGATTTCTGCTTTTTATGAACCAATGGCTCAATGTGTTTTTTATGATTGTATTTCTTGATTCTCTGATCTGTGTTGGCGAATTCAACGGTTTTGTAAAGTCCTCTGAGATATTATTGTGATTTAGGGTGATACAAAAACCCGTTGTATTGAGTGGTGTTTTTGCCGCTGTCACAGGTTGTCTGCCGTCTCGTCTCTGGTCCGCGAGGTCCTGGAGCAGCCGTCGTCTCTGCAGATTCTGGACTCTGTGACGCAGGATCTGGGCCTGGAGGAGACGGATCTGCTGGACTTAGTGCAAACATTCAAACACACGGACCACACGCAATGAGGCTTTTCCACACGTCAATAAACTCACGGCTGTTCTTTCATGTGTGGACTATTTTTCTGACTTCAAAATGAAAAATGTGCAAATAATGTGATGTTATGTAGGAATTGGCAGCAAATACATTTTTTGAAATGTTGATGTAAATACTCAAAACTATTGCACACATAAATATATCTTTTCCTTTTTATTGAAGCCAAAATGCAGTTTTTTTGCCTCAGGAGTCCTTAAACTACATAGAAGCCGATCTCTGAGATGTTCCTCTTTTTGTTGCCGATGCAGAAAGGTCTAATGACATTTAAATAAAGAAGCAAAATATGATAAATTATGTTCTTAAAGCTGCACTAACTGACTTTATTTTTGTATTCATTACGAAAATCCAATCCATATCCATAAAGTGCTTTGGGATATACGTCCTTTTGAAGAATAAGTAGCACAGATTTGTGCTGGCGCGTCATTATGATTTTGATTTTAGAGTTTTTGTGCAACAAGGAAGAGAACGTGTGTCGGGACCAGATTCCACAGCGGACCACTGGCCCCCACTTTCTTGAGAAAAGCCACAGGTCTCTGGTTAGCACAGACAGCTGAGGTAAACAAGCGGCGGAGGCTAAGCTGAAACTTCCCATGTTTCCGTTATCGGTTACTGCTTACTCAGCGAAACAGCCAAAAGAAAGTCTCGTTACTCTGCGCTTCTATCATTCTATGGTCACGCCATCCACGCTCAAATGTGTCCATATTGTCACACATTTTTGTCCTATTGTGACAGGAAAAAGAAAATGGAAACATAGTCGAGGTGGTACAAAAAAAGTACCCCCAATCCCAAGTCTGACCCTAGTGAAAATGCAAAATGGCCGCGCCGTGCCGTACCGTACCGTTACTGTGGAAAAGCGGCCAGGTGCTTGCGAAGGTCGGAAAAATGATCAAAATCCAATTAAAAAGAAATAAAAGTACGGTATTTTTTACTCATTTTGGTGGAACAATTTAACCTGAGGATCGAACAGGGGATTTATGGACATTTTTACCCGCTCCCTCTGGACCATCGTATAAATATAAATATAGTTATAACCAGGCATTTGTTGGTTTTCAGTAGTGGGAAGGATATTCTTAACTAACCAATCTACCTAAATATCATAACTTTATAATAATAGTAAGTTTTATTAGTATTGCACCTTACAGTTCAATAAAAACACAAAGCCGCTTATGGCCTGGCAAATATGCAGGTTGTTGAAATGTTAGTTCAGTCACTCGTTATCAACAAAAAAAAGGCACAAACAATGAATAATACATTTCTCTCTGAACAATGAACTAGTTTCAGATCCACTTCTTCAATAACAACCTCAGATTATCTCGGTGTGGACTTGTGGGAGCCGTGGTGTGTACACAGTCAGTCCAAGTCCCAGTCCAAATCCCATCCTCAGATAGTTTTAAAGCCGCAGCCCAAATAAATCACACCCATAGTCTACGCAGCCTCATAAAAGTGTACAAGTATTTCAGAGTACTTCCTAAATATGGCGTTTTACTGCAGCCGTATCATCCACTATCACCTCTGATAGTGGCCTGGTCTGAGGACAGCTGGGGACTGGAGGCTCCGGGTCCGAGAGAGATTACATTAGGTTTATATGGTGTTGGAATATTTGAGTTGGGTCGAAGGCACGGATGTGATTGAAAACTTTGCTCCTTCTGTTTTTTTTTTTGACTGCAGAAGAAATGAAGATGAAGAGATCCTTATATTCGTCCCACGGTGGGGAGTTTCAGTGTTGCCTTACTAGTTATAACAGCAGGAATGAGGAGCACGCAGCACAAGATAAATGAGCAATATCTATACTACTTAAAACAGAATGAAAAGTCTAACTCTAGCATCAAATAACAAGTTCAAAATCTCTATCTTGAACATAATAATAATAAAGAAGAAGTATAAAAGTCTTGCATTTGGCAAAAACAGAGACAAGTTCACTCGACATTGTAAGATCAAATGATGTAAGTTAAAAATATTCACATTCACAGTCCATTAAAAAGACTAAAGCTATAATCCTTTAGTCGTATCCACAGCTGAACAGAACTGTTTTAACCTGGATTTGAACATTGTCAGAGAAAAGAAGCCTGTCTCACATTTTCAGGAAGACTGTTTTAGCTGCATGAATCTGAAATGCAGCCTCCCCATGTTTAGTCCTGGCTCTGGGACCAGCAGGAGGCCAGTCCCTGTGCTCCTCAGAGTCCTAGCAGGAGGCCAGTCCCTGTGCTCCTCAGAGTCCCAGCAGGAGGCCAGTCCCTGTGCTCCTCAGAGTCCTAGCAGGAGGCCAGTCCCTGTGCTCCTCAGAGTCCCAGCAGGAGGCCAGTCCCTGTGCTCCTCTGAGTCCCAGTTGGTTCATACGGCACCAGCATGTTACATAATGTATTTTGGTGCGAGGCCATGGAGAGACTTGTAATAAACTGTTTTAAAGTCTATTCTCTGAGCCACAGGAAGCCAGTGCAGAGACCTGAGGACTGGACTAATGTTTTGGTACTTCCTGGTTCTTGTCTGGATTCGAGCTGCAGTGTTTTGAATCTACTGCAGCTGTTTTAGAACTTGTTTATTTTGATAATTGGTTAATTAATTATGTTGTTTTTTGTACTACTCGCCTAACACCGCTTTTATAGAGAAGTCTGTGTACAGTTAAGCCTTTGGAAAAATATTCAGAGTCATTTTTTTGCCATTTGCAGTAAACCCACATTGGAACAACTGTTCAAGACTACCCCAGTGTGCACCAGACAGAGCAGACAGTACACACCAGAGCTCTTGCCACTTGCACCATGTCTGAAAATGTACCCTCTAAAAACACAACCGGTTATAAAACGTAACTGTTGAGCCAATATCGGTTAAATGAATGTGCGTCAGATATTTACCCATCATTGGTTGTGGGGATTTTTGACCACCAAAGACTAGACCCTGTTTATCATGTATAGTAGTAAGTGATTATGAGTCTTGTTTTTGAAAATGTTCTCTTTCTCCACGTTATGAAAAGTGGTTGACATTCACTTCAAAATATGCTTTTTTAAGATGTCACTAACTTTCAGATGTATTTTCTGCTCTATCGCTATCTTCTCTACCAGTTTCTTAATCTTCAGCTCTCAGCCCAGATCTGACTCACAGGGCTTTTGCTGTGGTGTGGTCTGACTTTAACTAACTTTCTACCGGGACAAAAAAAGTGTATTCAAAATAAATAAACTTGACTAAATGTCTCACATATGTAATAAATTATAGACAAAATCCCAGTGTGTGTCTTCTTTAAATTACTCTCATTTATTAGAATACAGATATCAAGTATAAGTTGTCAAAAACATACAAACATAGTGCAAAAGGTGTCAACAATCCTTATTAAATATTAGTTTGAACATATTTGAACATGCCACAGGCGTGAGACAGGAGGTAAGACGCTGGTCAGAGTAAAAGATCGAGATTTGGTTGAGACCGAAGTGAGATCTCGACCAAATCTACACAAATCTGAAGTGTCCCGGGATTCTAGTTCCCAGGAGTAAAACGCTAGCCTGGCTCCAGCCGACCTTTAGCCCCGCCTCCATGGAATTTCAGCTGGCACGGAGGCGGGGCTAAAGGTCGGCTGGAGCCAAGCTATTAAAACGCATTCTTCTCAAACAGATCAGAAAAAAACCTCAAATCCATGTGTCCAGGAGAAACACATGAGTCCGTGTTGAGGCTCGGCTTGGTCCAGATTACTGTAGATGGAGGATTTGACCTATTGTACATGTTTTCAGTGGGAGAAACTGCGATAGAGCTACGCAGACACAGGGAGAACATGCAAACTATGCTCAGAAAGGCCCTGCTCCCACTGGGATTCGAAGCCAGGACCTTCTGGCTGTAAAGCGAGAGTGCCACGTTCCTCTGGGGAGCCCTGAGTCTCTTCGAATCAAGTTTTTAGTGAATCGCCCTAAAACACAACAGCCGTTTTCTCTGAGGACTTTACAAAGCTGTCGATTCTGCAACAACAGATCAAAGAATCAAACGGTTTGAACACAGAAAATGCAATGATATAAAACACATGGAGGCATTGCTCCATAACGGGCGGATGACTAATTTCCATAAATGTTTATAATGTCCATAAATGTCGTTATATGTGGAAGGTCCTGGATCAAAACCACTGTCCTTGGACCTTAAACCAGGGGTGTCAAACTCATTTTGGTCAGGGGCCGAATACCAAGACTAGAAACTGCGAAAGAATGGAAGGATTTTTTTTTTTTCTTCAGTATTTTGACATTTTTCTGAAAACAAAATATGTTTATTGTTTAGATTTAACCAAAACCGTTACACACATTTGTTTCTTATGTGACTTCTAATGATATGTTGGGTTGACATTTTAGAATACATTGAATTTGGTTGTTTTGCTGAGAGACTAGATCCTGTAAAACCCATAACCATCATCATTATGAACCAAAGTTAGCAATAATAATCTATTTTAATTTTAGGGACCACAAAAAACGCTCTTGAGGGCTGGATTTGGCCCACGAGCCTGAGTTTGACGCGCCTTCCTGCATCGACAATGAAAAACTCTAAAGTGCCCTGAAGTCTGAGTCCTTCACTTGGGGGCGTGCTGCGTCTCCTTGTGTCTCCGCAGATCCACTTTGCGCTGGAAGCCTTTGCCGCAGAGGTCGCAGCCGAACGGTTTGAAGCCGGTGTGTTTGCGACTGTGCGTGATGAGGTTGGAGCTCTGACTGAAGGCTTTCCCACACACCTGGCACTTGTGAGGCTTCTCTCCTGAACAAATGGGAAAACAGACGTCAGGAAGCAGCGAGATTTTGTACATACATATATTTTTATTAATTGGAGATTCTGTAAAAAATAGCTACTTTTTTTTACCCAGTTTGTATGGACTTTCTTGGGAATACGTGACTAGTGGTTAATTGCATATAAATGATACAGTAGAACAAAGTATTGCAAGATTTAATCAAATAATTATCTGTTTTCTCACAGTTTCTTAGTCATTTAGATCTGAGGTTTATGCGACTCTTATGTCTGCTGTTTGTGACTCCAGTTTATTATATTTGATTAATTTAAGTTATGTGTTTGGAGCTCATGTTCATATGAGAGGTCGTCAATTCTGCGACCTTAGCGGGAAATCCTCTGGAGCTAATGCTAATTTAAAAATAATAATAATGCATTCTGGATTTGACTCTGGAGTAAGACATCCTTTTTCCCTAAACAGACAGATACTTTATAGATCCTTGGGGGACCGAGCTTTCGCCATCTCTGCTCCCACTCTCTGGAACTCCCTCCCCCTCCATCTCAGAAACTCGGACTCTCTAAACTCCTTCAAAAAACAGCTCAAAACTCACCTTTTCCTCCGAGCATTTGACTCTTAGTTTAAACTTTCTACCCTTCTTCCTCACTCCTAGATTTTTAGTTTGTGTGTCTGTCTAAACGTGTGTGTTTGTGTCATGAATTTGTGAAGCGTCTTTGAGTTCTTGAAAAGCGCTATCTATATAAAACTGATGTATCCATCCATCCATTTTCTACCCTTTAATCCATTTCTGGGTCAGGGGGGTGGCAGTCAGAGATGCCACCCAAGTCTCATAGCACCAGCCCCTCTGCAGGTGGTGAGTCCACAGGAGGACGGCTGCTCTCTGAGTGTGAGCATAGCCTTGATCTTTCAGTGGGGGCTTTTGGGCAAAGTGGGGTTAAGTGTCTTGCCCAAGGACACAACGACAGCAGTCATCAGCGGGAGTCGGTGGAGAAGGTGTAGAGGTGGGAATTGAACCCGCGACCTTCAGGCCTTAAGGCCAATGCTCTACCAACTGAGCTACTGTCGCCCGACTGATGTATTATTATTATTATTATTATTATTATCATCCCCGTAGGAGAAATTCCGGTTTCCAGTAGCAGCAGAAACAGAAAAATACATCATTTTAAAATAGTAAACAATAGTTATAAGTTATAAGCTTGGTTCAGACCATATTCCTTGCTCTGGAATGCAATGCAAGGAAAATGGCCCATTAATGAATTATCTATCTGTCTGTTCAGAAAATAATGTCTTGTCTGTAACAAGGTCCTGTGCCCTCTGAGTTCAAGGATACAGTTCTTGCACTTCCCTCCTCAGTGTTATAAATGTGACAATAGGGGTTGATCAGTCTTAAGGGTAAAATGAGGGACATGAATCACAAACTCTAATCACAAAACGATGGATTGGTCACTTCTGTTCCACGTCCTGCTGCAGAGACTGTGGGCGCTCACCTGTGTGGATGAACGTGTGCTTCTTCATGTCCGACTTCTGGTGGAACCTCTTTCCACAGAACTGACAGGGGTACGGCCGAGTGTCCGAGTGGATGAGGAGGTGAGTGGACAGAGTGGACGAACGCTTGAAGCTCTTCCCACAGATCTTACAGCTGAAACTGCGCTCCTGAAACACACACACAGAGGGAGTTCACCTTTATGTTGTTTTTTATGTCACTTACAGTCGGTGGTACAGGGGTAAATTTGTATATGATTTTTTGTTTTACATCATACATCAATTAATCCGTGGTTTGATATTTGTTTTTATGTGTTAACATTCACAGAAAGCACATTTTTACTACTATTTCCAGGACTTCAAACAGAATAAAATGTGTAAAAAAAAGTTTCCTTTACTGTGTTGAGAGAAAGTATTGTCTAACTAACACACGCCGGCATGCCATGAGCAGCGAGCAGGCGCTTGTCAACACAAAATATTACACATGTGATGCAGTTTTCAGTCATAATACATACTTGCCTTATTTGCGCGGTTAATTAACGCTGATAAAGGAGTTTGCGTTAACGTGGTCATTAACGTGTTCAACTTTAAACAGGAGCATTCAGACAGAAGGGATGGGGGGATTTGGGTCAGAATGTGGAGCACGTCTGTTTGAAACAGGGGTAGTGTCGTAACACTGGTGTTAGAGCTGATACCGGTCATGTTGTGTTCAGAGCTTTCGTAACAGTAACACAAGCTGAGATCTCGGGTTACGCTGCAGTTACCTGGGAGTGCACGGCTCGGTGCTGGTCCAGACTGACCTCGTGGCCAAACGTCTTCCCACAGACGCCACATTCAAACGGTCGCGAGCCGCTGTGAGAGCGCCGCACGTGCACCTCCAGGCCGTGAGGAGTGGAGAAAACCTGAGGCAGAGAGAAACACACACTCAGGGAATGTTTTTGATGAAATAATAATAATGCGTCAGTTTTATACAGCGCTTTTCAGGACAATCAACATCATTCACTCCAAACTACTACTTTAGCCACAGCTGCCCTGGGGCACACTGACAGAAGCCCCTCCCACCACCACCACCAAACATTCACAAACACTAGACTCATTCTAATGTGTCTTGCCTAAGGACACAATCACAGTTTACAGCCACAGCCGTGTTAGTGTTAGGGTTCAGTAATTATAGCTGTGGATGAGTGAAGGCCAAAAAGTTCTAACAAAGTAATTTATAATAATATTAATAATAATGATGATGATGATGATGATGATGATGATGATGATGATGATGATGATGATGATGATGATGATGATGATGATGATGATGATGATGATAGAAACATATCTTTGTGTGTAAAGTCAGACTGACCTTACTACACTTGATGCACTTGTACGTCCCGTTGTATTCTGCGGCGGTGAACTCGGCCTCTGTCTTGATCTCTGATGAGGGTCTGGGGGCGTGGTCCTGGTATGACCCCCTCTCCACGCTGTAGTCCAGGGCACCGCCCCCCGCAGTGAAGCGCGGGTGGTACGATCCGCGCATTAAGTGAGAGATGTTTGACCCGGAGAAGGGCCACGTGCAGGGGAACAGAGACGGGTGCAGGGGGCCCTCGTCTGCAGCCAGAGCGGAGCAGGACTCAGAGTCTGGAACAGAGACTTTTGTTTATTTTATTTTTATTATTTTTTGCTCAAAAGGAGTGGGCTGAAGCAAGAACCTAATGAGTATCGTCAAACTCAATACTATCAAACTTTTCATATCACAATACCAGAGAGAGACCGGAGAGAGACCGGAGAGAGAGACCAGAGAGAGACCAGAGAGAGAGACCAGAGAGAGACCAGAGAGAGAGACCAGAGAGAGACCGGAGTAGAGAAGGCATAATAAAAAAAAAAATTAAAAATCAGCGACACTAAGAAATATAATTTAAAATAGAATTATTATGATTACAATTACTATATACAATATACAAGTGCACATGGTGCACACGATATAAGGTGACAGCAGTAAAGTAAAGTGACATTATAAAGGGCCATAAAGTGCGGGGGGACAGGTTATGAAGTGAATATATGTGTATATGTGTGTGTGTGTGTGTGTGTGCGTGTGTGTGTACGTGTGTTACCTGGTGATGATGATGGTGATGGGGGTCTCCACTGGTCACAGGGCTCACAGCTCTGGGGGCTGCAGGACACAGGGCTGAGGGGGGTTTGGAGCAGGACCCCCATGGGACCCCTGGACTCTGCACACAGGACAGGACCATCAGGGTCTGGGTCTGGCCCACTTTAACTATTTAACTGGACCAACTCAGGTTAACTGTGATCAATAATACTTAGTAATTTGTGGAACTTTTAATATTCATATAAATTAATAATATTCGCTGGTTACTTTTGATGTTTTTGTTTTTGAACTACGCAAGTTTGTTTGTTTTAATACATTGTTTTAGCTTTGTTTTATAATTGGACAAAATATTAGGAGCACAGAACTGGCCTCCTGCTGGGACTCTGAGGAGCACAGGGACTGGCCTCCTGCTGGGACTCTGAGGAGCACAGGGACTGGCCTCCTGCTGGGACTCTGAGGAGCACAGGGACTGGCCTCCTGCTGGTCCCAGAGACAGGACTAAACATGGGGAGTCAGCATATCAGATTTATGCAGCTACAATCTGGAACAGTCTTCCTGAAAATGTGAGACAGGCTTCTTCTCTGACATTGTTTAAACCCATCTATCTGTGCAAACAACTGAAGGATTTTGCTCAAGATGTTAATGCCTTGTGTGATGTAAATAAATTAGCTTCTCATGCTAACCTAGCACATCTCTTCTGTCATGGACTAATGTCAGTTGTATTGTCCCTGATCAAATAAATACTTCAATAATATTTTCCCGTGACATGATCAAGTATTTTTATTCTACTTTTAGTCAGAAAGCGCCTTTTTCACACAATTTGCCTTTAACTGAGATCGTTTTTTTCTCTCTCTCTCAAATGAATACCTAGAGTGATGACCAATATTACAAACTGTATATTTTGTGACTCATTTCAAGTACAAACATTATATAACTAACTTTTCTATAATGAACGTAATCTGGGAACATTATACTGTAAGTGTGTAATCTTGTTGGTTTTTACAATATTATAATTATACATTTGTAAAGTATTGTTCCCACCACTGCATAGATTAAACTGGATTAAACTGGAAGTATTTACCTTTAGATAATAGACTTTGTTTAAAGATGGGGTACGTGACATTCAAACCATAAAACTAGTTCCTTTCCGTCAAAACAGTTTCACACACATGTATTTTTGGCCTCTGTCACATCTTTAGATCAACTTTTTCAGACAGAAAAGTGAAAAAGAGAGGCCTCACTCAGCCAATCAGTAGAGAGTAAGGCAAGGAATAATATTTGATAAAAAGATGAAGACAGCAAAGAAAACTGTTAAAATGTTATAACAATATGGATTAACTATGAATTACTTTTGACTCAGGTACTTCATGTATACGTGTATTATTGACGCAGGTACTTCATAAATGTATACATGTATTACTTTTGACGCAGGTACTTCATAAATGTATACATATTACTTTTGACTCAGGTACTTCATAAATGTATACATGTATTACTTTTGACGCAGGTACTTCATAAATGTATACATGTATTACTTTTGACTCAGGTACTTCATAAATGTATACATGTATTACTTTTGACTCAGGTACTTCATAAATGTATACATGTATTACTTTTGACTCAGGTACTTCATAAATCTACTTTTGACGCAGGTACTTCATAAATGTATTATTCTGACTTAAAAGTTTAATTTAAGTTTGCAATGAAGGCGTTTATAAGTATTTTTTTTAACTTCTGCCTTCTCCTTTTGAACTCTATGTGTTTTTACTTGTGTTAAATTACTTCTAAATATTGTAGTAAAATGTAAAATGTAGTGTTTCACATGTTGATCCCTCTTAACTATATGAATACATAAATAAATACATAAGAAGGTACGGCAGGTTATTGCATTCACTTGAATTAAAAAAGTTTCTATGAGACAAATAAAACCAGAAACTTTTTAACTCATAAAAACAGGATTTATTTGTCTCATAAAAACAGAAAACAGATTCTTTTAATTCAAGTGAATGCAATAAGCTTCCGTAAGAAGGTCTTTTTGTTTCCTTTTTTTTTTCTCAGGATGGAACTTTTGATTGAACTCGGACACCTGAAGCCAGTTTTATATCTCATTAACTCGTGTATTTTTATGTCTAAGGGACAGGTCTGCGAATTAGCGGTTAGCTAATCGGCTATTTGTAATTCTTCTTGTTCTATCCCTATATAAAAAAAACATACAATAAATAATAAATTACCCCGTCATATCCATACGCACACAAAATAGGTCCGAGCCAGATGGTGATAACATGTCATACACAAAATAAAAAAAACCTTATTGTAGCACTTAAACAAATATTCTCTTTTTGTTGATATTGGTTTTGATAAAGTATTGATATGTGTTATATTTGCAGTAGCTATATATAACTTTCACAACACTTTTTCTGTGGGGCCAAACAACACGTGTTATTTATGAAACGATAAAGTCAGGTACCCCAGCTTTAATTAATCCATTAACAACACGCACTTTTACCTTGATTGACGTGCGCGAGGATCGTGTCCAGCGCGTGGCACGGCTCGTCCAGCGCGCGCGGCCGGTGGTAGCTGTGCGCGCGCTTGCTCTTGACCAGGAAAGACCTCGGCATAGTTCTGGTTCTGGAGAGACGATCACCCGTATCCAGAAACACTTCCAAACACACACGTCTGTATCGCCCTCTGTCCTCTGCGTAATGACCAGCCAAAAGTTTACCACACGCGCTATCACTCTGGGGGGAGGCTATTACGCATGCGCACTGGAGCCGCACGCAGAGCAGGTGTCGCGCTTGGCTTCTCAGGTGACGCTGCGTGATGAGTCTGGACTGGGGGCCTTTAGTGGACTGTGGGACCATCCGTGTGTCACAGAGCGAGGCCGCGGTAAGCAAGAGGAAGTCTGCACTGCTTTTTAGGGTTTGGCCCATGGCTTTAGTGGCTCTTATCATGAGGCAAGACTTAACCTGGGTCTGAAAGATAGCGAGGGGATAGATAAGAGGAAAAAACGATGCTACCAGAACTTTAAATCAGTCAATCTTTATTTGTAGAGCACTTTTGCTACACAAGGAAATAAAAAGTGCTTCACAGCCCTATCATATAAGGTATAAATCATAAACCAAATCTCACAGGGCATTAAAAAACAAGCAAGCTATGAAGACATGCACATTAAAATCACACAGATAATTAAACAAAACTAAAATTAGAGTAACGCTGGGATTCCTGATTTAGAACAGAGGAAGTTTAAATCATACATGGTGTAACCCACATAAGTTTGCGTTCCGTCCCATGCATCTGAAAGTTGAATCTATATGACTCATTACCATAGAAGTACTGAATATTTTATATATATATATATATATATATATTTACATCATTTCATTTTACGGTGGTTAGCGCTTGTGGTTGACAGCAAGAAGGTCCTGGGTTCGATTCCACCTCCAGGCCTTTCTGTGTACATTAGGTCTGTGAGGGTGAGAGACCAACGCCAAAAGGGCCGTACTGTAGTCGCATTGCAGGATGGGTCAAATGCAAAAATAGGCACAACAAAGTACATGTCAATGCTAGATCAATGCTTCTCAAGAGCAATTTAAAAACAAAAATCAAAATGCATAAAAAACAAAAAGGCAATATACAATAAGTTCCCATTAAAACAGAGCAGCATAGAAGTATTGGGCTTAAAACTCTTATTAAAATGTGGGTTTAAAAAGAGACATAAAAGCAATAAATAGCACAAAATAGATCAGTTGTATGCACAGATAAACATTACTCCAAAAAGATTTCAACCCTAACTTTCAGAGGTGCCTTCTCAGACAAACTCTCACAAATCTCCTCCACTCGCAGCTGTTTGAGTGCACTATTTCTTCACCTTGTATACCAGGAGTGGCCAAAGCATGAGAAGGAGAAAGGTCATTTATTTTAGCACAGATTGGACTAAACCAGAGTCGTACTTACAAATAATAACATTGTAAGCAAGTAATATTAATATAGTGTGCTTTTCACTTGTTCTGGGAATTTGTCTCTCACTCCACACAGAGATGGGAGCGGGATCGCCCTCAGGAAGAGCCTGACAGACCTATTGTACATGTTTTTAGTGGTAGGGGAAACCGGAGCACACGGAGGAAACCTATGCAAACACGAGGAGAACATGCAAACTCCACACAGAAAGCTCTGCAGGTGGAATAAAAAAAACAGGACCTTCTCGCTGTGAAGCATTTTTATAATTGTAATGTACGTTTACTTGCCCTACAGATGGAACGTAGCAATAGCTAAACATTTTTCCCGGTCAATAAACAATAAACTCATTAGCTAAACTAAAATAATAACATTCACGTTAGCTTCTTAAGTATTTGATTTCATAGTTAAATGGTTAGAAAATGGCACAATTGATCACTGATTGTAGCGACATGAACAGAACATCTATGGACCAAGAACACATGCTTGGGGGATCCCAGATGTCCTCTTTTCTTCTGTATATAAAATATCTCATTGATCTCTCTTATAAAAATGCACTTAAGCCACTTGTGCGAGTTGCCGTGTGAGATCTGTCCTTTGTCCAGGGGCCGAGCTGCAGGTGTAAGGCGATCCCGGAGCTAACAGCCTGCGGACGGAGAGCTTCTCTTACAGACACACTCCACTTCCCTCCCACCAGAGAGAGACCAGAGAGAGACCGGAGAGAGACCAGAGAGAGACCAGAGAGAGACCAGAGAGAGACCGGAGAAAGACCAGAGAGAGACCGGAGAAAGACCAGAGAGAGACCGGAGAGAGACCGGAGAAAGAACGGAGAAAGACCAGAGAGAGACCAGAAAGAGACCAGAGAGAGACCGGAGAAAGACCAGAGAAAGAACGGAGAAAGACCAGAGAGAGACCAGAGAGAGACCAGAGAGAGACCAGAGAGAGACCGGAGAGAGACCAGAGAGAGACCGGAGAGAGACCAGAGAGAGACCAGAGAGAGACCGGAGAGAGACCAGAGAGAGACCGGAGAAAGAACGGAGAAAGACCAGAGAGAGACCAGAAAGAGACCAGAGAGAGACCAGAGAGAGACCAGAGAGAGACCGGAAAGAGACCAGAGAGAGACCAGAGAGAGACCAGAAAGAGACCAGAAAGAGACCGGCGAAAGACCACTTCATCAGATGTATAGGGTGCCCAAACTTCAATAAACGACGTGATATTGAAAAAATTAAATAGTGTTTGATTTGTGTTTTCCAAGATGCCACAACTTCAACTTCTGTATTTCAGATTTAAGCAGCTAAAATCTGGGACAGTCTACCTGAAAATGAGAGACAGGCTTCTTCTCTGACAATGTTCAAAACTAGGTTAAAAACTTGTATCTGTCCTCTTTTTTAATGTACTGTTATTATTTATGATTTTAATACCTTATTTTGTTCATCACTTTGAGTTGCTTTCAGTATGAATTGTGCTATAAAAAAACTTGCCGTGCCTAAATCTCAGTTATGTAACTTTCAAACCCCAAAAATAATTGGTCTTATCTGTGCGGGCAAATCAATGGTTCTGTAAAGTCCTGGGAAGACGAGTTATATTGTTGATCTGTCACCGACGGCAACACACCAATGCGTAATTCCTTCGTTTTCTTGTACGTATTGATTCTTGTTCTGTGGGTTTTTCTTTTTAGCAGTAGCATAGAAGCTAATATGCAAATGGAAATGAGGTGGGATTAAATAAATTATCTTTTTCCTACTCCTAATCTGTGAGTCTTGAGAATCAGTTAAATCATCAAAAATGGCTGGCAGTCCATGAGCTAATAACCGTGTTGCTCCTGGGTTTTCCCTGAAATAATTACATAAACAAACAAAATGTCATCCCATTTTGTCGCAAACGAGACAAGATCATTCATAACAAATTGAAGCTCTCACAAAAACAAGACTTTTGATGTCTTTTTTAAAGGCCTCTTTGAACAACATGAGTGAACTTCAGACTTCAAATCAAACAGGCCCCACAGGTTTTGCAAATCATGACAAAGATTGAAGCCGTTTCAAGGCCGCAGTAAAGGCGTCCTGTATTGATTGAGCGTTGGACGTGGGAACGCGGCGAGTTTGAGTCAGCTGCTTTAGTTCAACAGAGATAGCACTAAAATACATGCAAGTGAGCAGGAGTGGTCGCATCCCAAATCCACACAGACTACCTCCTTACCTCCTTCCTGTGCGGTCTCTTCTAAGCCCATATGACCGGTCTTAGATAACTCAGCTCTCTATAGTAGGGACAGCCACTAAAGTAAGGTCATTCTTCCATGATTAGTCAATTAGGTCTTGTTTTCATTAAAAGCTGAAGTACTTAACTTTGAAACGACAAATAAATCAACTATAGTCCATGTCTGTCATAGCTTTAAACAGTTTGACTCTATCACTAATTTCACATGTATGTATTCTTGGCCTGTTTCTCATCTTTGGACCAGTTTTTTCAAGACAAGGGAGGTTTATTTTAAAAGTACAGTTCATACACAAGACTACTAAACTGAAAGAGTGTCAGACATAAAAGAGAAAAAGAGAGGACCACCCTCCTTCAGCCAATCAGGACTCAGCGAGTGAAAGATAATGGACATTTATTAACATTTATGGTCATCTGTCACTAATGGACCAATGGCTCTATGTGTTTTTCAATCATTGCATTTCTTGTGTGTTTGATTCTCTGATCTGTGTTGGGGAATTCAAGGGTTTTGTAAAATCCTCTGAGATAACTACTGTTGTGATTAATGGCGATACAAGAATAAATTGGAATGAATTGAATTGAATAGATACAAAAATCTCTGGAGCTATATTTGTACTTGGATAGACAGATACGTACAAGTATCTGTCTATCCAGAGAATATGACAAGAATAAAAATGTCTGTTGTGAGTCCAGTGCACATACAGAAGGAGCTTTTAGTTTTTTTGAATTCGGACGCAACCTTTGTGTGTTTACTTGTGTTTCTGTTTGTATGTGAGACAGAGCAGTGACCACATTCAGGCTCCTTTTCTGGCTTTGATCATGTTACAATCCGTCTTCTCGGATCGTAGAGCTGAGATGTGAGAAAACACTGATTAATTGACAAATAATATTCTCTTATTTCTTATTCTTATTATGTTTGGATTTGATTAACAGTTTTTCATACAGTCAATTGTGTATGTTTAAACAAATATTTTTGTTTTCCTCTCATTGTTGATCCACCCTCCATAATGTGTTTGCTTGATCTTGAACAACCACAACAAGAGAAACGCCTCTTCAGACCCTGATCAGAAATCTCCATCCCCCAGTTCTCATTATCCCCTGCACGACAATATAAGCAGCATGTTTTAAGGTCGTAATGTGGCAGAGAGACGTCTAAAACTGATCACAACATGGTTTAATGATGAGGTGTTTACCAGCTAACCGTTAGCTTCATCACTCATTCACCTTCATCTGTTTTGACAATACAGTCTTACAGCGACTAAAAGTTGATGGAGTCAAAATAATAAGTCCATAAACTCTCTGCTCTGACAACTGCCCCAGTCTACCACATTAGAAATACGCATATTAGCCGCATCGCTATATAAGCCTCTTCTTTATTATGCTAAAGCTACAGATTTTATATTAGCTTCTTTATTATGCTAAAGCTAGAGATTTTATTCTTGATTCTTTATTATGCTAAAGCTAGAAATTTTACGCTAGCTTCTTTATAATGCTAAAGCTAGAGATTTATAATTACTTCTTTATTTTGATAAAGTTGTTGTTTTTTCTATATAAACAGTAACAGTGGAGGCAGAATCCAATGTATTTTCTACTGTGATTGTCTGGAGTTTGTCAGAAAAACAGAGGTACTTGATTTGAAAAAAATGACGCAAGCTCCCTCCCCCTTGGACTGCCACCTTAACGTGGTGGGGGAGTTTGAGCACTCGGATGATCCTGGGAGCTATGCTGTCTGGGGCTTCATGCCCCTGGTAGGGTCTCCCATGGCAGACAGGTCCCAAGTGACGAGTCAGACGAAGCGCAGTCCGAAGCCAACCATGGACAGCACGACAACGAAAACCGTGACGTCGCACGGCATGGCGCAGCCGGGGCCCCACCCTGGAGCCAGGCCTGGGGTCGGGGCTCGCAAGCGAGCGCCTGGTGGCCGGGCCTTAGCCCACGGGGCCCGGCCGGGCCCAGCCCGAAGGGATGACGTGGGCAGTCCCTCCTGTGGGCCCACCACCTGCAGAGGGGTCCGTGGTGGCGAGGTGCTGAGAGGACTGGGCAGCAGTCGAAGGCGGAGACCTGGACGACCCAGTCCACACACCCAACATCTGGCTCTTGGGACGTGGAACGTCACCTCACTGGGGGGGAAGGAGCCCGAGCTTGTGGGGGAGGTTGAGCGATACCGACTAGAGATAGTCGGCCTCACCTCCACACACAGCTTGGGCTCTGGAACCCAACTCCTTGAGAGGGGTTGGACGCTCCACTTTTCTGGAGTTTTCCCGCGGGGAGAGGCGGCGAGCTGGGGTGGTCATACTCATTGCCCCCCATCTCAGCCGCCACGTGTTGGAGTTCTCCCCGGTGAATGAGAGGGTCGCGTCCCTCCGCCTCCGGGTGGGGGACAAGTCTCTCACTGTTGTGACGGCCTACGGGCCTAACGGTAGTGCAGAGTACCCGGCCTTCTTGGAGTCCTTGGGAGGGGTACTGGACAGTGCACCGCCCGGGGACTCCGTTATTCTCCTGGGGGACTTCAACGCCCATGTGGGAAATGCCAGTGACACTTGGAGAGGGGTGATCGGGAAGAACGGCCCCCCTGAGCTGAACCCGAGCGGTGTTCAGTTGTTGGACTTCTGTGCCAGTCACGGCCTGTCCATCACGAACACCATGTTCGAGCACAAGGGTGTCCATCAGTGCACGTGGCACCAGGACACCCTAGGCCGGAGGTCGATGATCGACTTTGTTGTCGTATCATCTGACCTTCGACCGCGTGTCTCGGACACTGGGTGAAGAGAGGGGCGGAGCTGTCAACCGATCATCACCTGGTCGTGAGTTGGATCCGCTGGCAGGGCAGGAGGCCGGTCAGACCTGGCAGGCCCAAGCGTGTAGTGAGGCTTTGCTGGGAACGTCTTGCTGAGCCCCCTGTCAGACGGACTTTCAACTCACACCTCCGGGAGAGCTTCTCCCAGGTCCCGGCAGAGGAGGGGGACATCGAGTCCGAGTGGACCATGTTCTCTTCCTCTATCGCCAATGCGGCGGCTCGTAGCTGTGGTCGCAAGGTCTCTGGTGCTGGTCCCGGCGGCAATCCCCGAACCCGGTGGTGGACACCGGCAGTAAGGGATGCCGTCAGGCTGAAGAAGGAGTCCTATCGAGCAATGATGGTTCGTGGGATTCCTGAGGCAGCTGTCCAGTACCGGCAGGCCAAGCGTGCCGCGGCCCGGGCTGTTGCAGAGTCAAAAACCCGGGATGGAGCAGTTCGGACCATATCGGTCGGCCTCGAAGAGGTTCTGGCAAACCGTCCAGCGCGCTCAGGAGGGGGAAGCAGTTCTTTGCCAACACCGTGTATGGTGCGGGTGGAGGGCTGCTGACCTCGACTGGGGATATTGTCGGGCGGTGGAAGGAATACTTCGAGGTTCTCCTCAATCCCCCCGTCACGTC